TGTGTATGTTGTGTTTGGTGACTCGTTTGCACTATTACTGATTTTACAGTACCTTTTTCAGTAACAGCAGAGAAACTTAAAGCAAACCTAGCAAACAGCTTGGTGACCTTTTAATAGAGTAAACATAGAAGTATTGTTTGTTTATGATTAACTGTTTGGTGTCTAAAACAAACTGTACTGTATGAACTGTGTGTATTACAGGCACAGATGCAACCCATGCTGATCACATCGAGACTATAAAGAGTCGCATGTATGTGGGCTTGACAGATGACCAGAGGTTTCTCCCGGGAGAGCTCGGCATGGGACTGGTGGAGGGTATGCGCACACACACACACACTGTGGGGTTTAATACATAGGCATGTTGATAGGCCATTGTCCCCATCACTCAAATATGTTACTCATCAACTATACAAATGTGTCTTTGTTTAGGTTACAACTCCATGGGCTATGAGATGTCCAAACCATACCTGCGGGCTGAATTGGAGGCAGACCTCAAGCTGGTATCAGAGGGCCGGAAGGACAAACAGACCGTGCTGCAGCACCACCTCCAGAAATACAAGACCGTGTTTATTGAGTCTGCCAAGAAGGCAAAGAAGTTAGTGACTTTAAATTTACCTTAAATTTGTGTGTTTCCGATGCAACATTTGTACCCAAATGAGCAGCATCGTGCCGTATTTCACAGCAATGGATTAGTTACACCTGTCCTGTAATCACTGCAGTGGTTGTTGTGTAGGTAAGAAGTCATTTTCTGTTGTTGTTTCAGGTTAGATGAAGCCCTGTCACCATATCTGGGTGCAGCTCAGCAAATCACTGAAACAGAACAGCAGGAAATGGAGATCTCGCTGCCGGTCAGGAAGTGCCCTGGCTGTGGGCGGGACATGGTGCTGAAGACAAAGAGGGAGGGAAACGGGTCAGATGAGACACAAAGCAAAGAAGCTTAAAACTATGTTGTCACATGAAAACAAAGATGCTGTCTGTCTTCCTGAACTTTCAACCATGTCTCTGTCCCCCTGCAGTAAGTACCTGTCCTGCGTGGGCTATCCAGCCTGTAAGACAGTAGTGTGGTTCCCTGAAACGGTGCTGGAGGTCAGCAGAGATGACACCATTTGTCCCACCTGTCGGCCACACCCTGTTCACATGTAAGTATTTACTTTATACTAGATACTCATCTCACAGAGCTGTACACGTTACATCAGACACAGGAAACAATTTAACTAGTTTACAATCAATATAGGTTGAGACTCAGACGACAAAACTGATGATTCTCTTGCACAAAGAATCACTTTACCTGCCAATTATTATTCAATTATTCCAAATTTTTCATATTTTGCTTTTTATTTTGTGCTCAGATACTTTGTGATTATTATATTAGATGAGCAGATTTAGATGTTGCTCACTCAGTTCCACTAAGCCTCAAGTTTGTAATTCACCATGATTTTATAATTAAGAATGTATTGTGTTCCCCACACACAAACAATCTATACGTTCATACAATGTAAACTATCATGTTTCAGAATTGTTATATTATACCAAGGTAATTTGGATACTGCACAGATATTAAAACATAACTGTAATAATTAATAATTCCCATCAGCCTCAGTTGCTGTCTGTGTTTAGTGCTAATTAGCAAATGTTACCATGCTAAACTAAGATGGCCAACATGGTAAACATACCTGTTTAACATCACATAACATGTTAGAAATGTGAGCATGTTAGGATGCTGACTTTAAGTGCAGCCTCAGAGCTGCTACCTTGGTTGTCTCCTGTGAATCATCATCAGTCTTCTTTGTTTGGCTGTGTTAACTTAGGTGTAAAAGGGGACGCAGGCTGTAAATTAGCTTCAGCTTGACGCCATGTATACATAATATCTGTTGCATTGCTCATCTGTATGGAACAGTGTTTATCTGTATGGTCCCTGTTAAATAAACAAATACATTAAATAACAAAATTAAAGACTAGTAGTTGAGAACAACAGTCGACAATCTGTTTCTTACAGAGCCTCTTGGGAAAGTTTTAAAGCAGAAAAGGGATTGAATACACAACCAGGACACTGAAATCTTATAGCCCCAAATAATTCACCCTCACTGACTTACCCAACAAAGTCTCCCTTTTTCAGTCCCTGGTTGTCACATTAATAAATTGAGGAATAAATAATTCAGAATGCATGGTCTTACTTTGAAATTGGTTTGAATTTTGCTGCCCTACTCATTTGTTTTTACTGTGTGCAGTGTGGTTGCAACTGTATGATTTTCAGGGTAGAATAACTGTCTCAGGAAATATCTCGGTTAACACAATTACACAATGGTTATATTATTATTATATGTTACAATGACCCACAAAGGGATGAGAACAGAATGCACAAAATATTACACTATAATGGTAGAATTCAATAACTTAGAGAAGCAAATGTACATTGTGTGATAACCTTCAATATTCATACCATGGAAACCGCCTCAACCCCAGTGTGCTCTGTGTTATAAATACTTTGTGTTAGAGAGTCCTTTCGTCCAAATAATTTCCTCCCAGCAAAATTCAGACCCACAGTAACATGCACACAAACATGCACACATTTAATTTATATTCTTATCAGTGGGCATTTAACACCAAGTACCTTATCCTGCCACGGACACACACAGTTTACATTTCTTAGATTAATGAGAAGTGTATGTAGGCGCTCTTTGGTGTGCAAACACAACAACAAACCCAGCTGAAGCTCTCAGTGGCCTCAGCAGTGCAAGAAACTTGTCCAAATTCTTGTTTACACAAGTGGGCGTTAACCCCTTGAGCACGTGCCTCAGCTCAGTCCAAATATAGGGCACACTCACTAGCATCGAGCCAAAGTGCTCCACACCAGCATCTGTTACCATAGCAACCAATCTGGTATGGAGCTCAAAGTTGAACTACAGCACTTACTCTAAAACAATATCACTGTTTTTTTAATCAGATCTCACCCAGCAGTTTCAGCCTGTTAGATAACTTCAGATGCTGTTAACAACAGATGTGCAGTAATAAACTGTTTCTTACCGTATTATTCCAAAGCAGCTGTGCAACACACACAGTGTTCGCTGAGTGTAATGTGGGTGTTTAATGATGGTATTTTATTGAGTTCATGTATTTCTCAACACGTAGTTAAGTTTTTCAAAACACTTGTGAATGTGAACTAAACTCTGGATCACTTTTCATTGCTTTAAGTTTTATTAGAAAACCTCATCTTTCAAATTTCATGAATTATGTTTTTACTCAAACTCAACCACCACCAAAGCTCTGTGTATTTACAGTCCACTTGTCATGTTTACTTACTACATTAAAAACTCAACATCATGGAGAATTATTGTTCATTAGGCTGCCACTTGCTACATTCTGCTTCACCTACAAAAGCCAACCACTACTTCACGTTTAAGACAGAAAATGCAAATGAATGCGGTAACATAAAAGCTCATTGGCACAGTTTTATCTAAATAGTATGTTGAGATTTTTTTAAAAATGGTGGAACAGTGGTTAAACGGTCAGGTCTGCTGGACAAAATATTGAAATGACCTCAAGTGCTGAATTCATGTTTATGTACTGTTCCCAACCAACAAATACCATGATACCAGTATATGTAATATGTAAATATCTATGACAGGACATTATCAGATGGGCATATTTAAATATAAAATCTGGCTTTCTGATCTTTGTTATCAATAATCAGTCTCAGCCATGTAAAAACTGGTTGGACTCGGCACAGTTCATTTGTTTCATGCTGTTGTTGGTTCACACTGAGGTGTGTCCTGTATTCTTCAGGTTGAAGTTTCAGTTCCGCAGGGGCAGCCTCCCTCCCATGATGCCTTTAGACTTTGTTGGCTGCATCGGTGGATGTGACGAGACGCTCAGAGAGGTGCTGGACCTGAGATATCTCCGAGGAGGAGGGGGAGGGAGACGGGACGAGCCTCACAGAGCCCCAAATTCAAATCCTCGGCCTTCCCTCCCTCCCGTCCCCTCCCGTCCCGCCCCCCTCCCGTCCCCTCCCGTCCCGCCCCGCCACGACCTCTACCGGCTGAGGGCAGTGTCAGTGTACACACCAACAGTGATGTCATTGTGTGTAACTGTGGTCAAGAGGCACTCCTACTCACAGTGCGCAAGGAAGGTCCCAACCAAGGTCGCCAGTTCTACAAGTGCAACAATGGGAGCTGCAACTTCTTTCTGTGGTCCGATCAGCCAAGTCAGCAGGGGTCTCTGCCGCAAGCACCACAGACCTTCCAGCCTCCGAGGCCCTCTCTGGGGTTCAGGAACACTGCTGGAGGAGGCAGAGGGCAGGAAGGGGGTGCAGGAGGAAATGTGGGACAGACGATGTGTAACTGTAATGAGACGGCGGTGATGCGCACGGTGCAGAAAGACGGTCCAAACAAGGGTCGGACATTCTACACCTGTGGGAAACCAAGAGACCAGCAGTGTGGCTTCTTCCTGTGGGCTGATGAAAATGCCACTCCACCAGGCAAGGCTCACACACACACACACACACACACACACACACACACTAATCAGAACTTCACACTGCTTTCCAAGTGTTCTACTTGTTATCACCCTGAGGCCTGAAATGAATATCCATTCAATGTGATGTTTTTAGCTTTGCTAGCACATTTCAACAACTATTGGGTGGCTCACCCCCCACACCCACCAGGATGAATTGAAATAACTTGTTTCCCTTAACTGATCCTCTAGCGCCACCAGCTGGTCACAGTTTACATATTTCCATTATTTTGGATTATGACTACATTTCTGTGCAATGTGTTTAGTGCAGTTTAGTAAGTGTTAGCATCCTAACGCGCTAAACTAATATTGTGAACATGGTAAACCTGCTAGGCATCAGCATGTTAGCACGGCCACAGTGAGCGTTTTAGCACAAGAACACAAGAAAGAACAGTCTTACAGAGCCGCCAGCATGTCTGTAGGCTCTTAAGTCTTAAGTGAGATGTTTTTCTTCAATTTGAAAAGAGCCACTCATTCTGACTGGATTAAAAATAGATCACTGAAACACCTTGGTTGCATAAAGAACTATATTCTCCTTTCAGCAGAGCTTTAGCACTGTTACTATCACCTGGGTTTAATTTTGACCAAAAGTGGACTTCCATTTCAAATGTTTTTTGTTTTGTTCTGTGGTATTTCTCCTGCATCCAAAGCAGACCTTGTTTCACCCATTAATACATTCACTTAAACTATACATTACTGACAGTGGCAGTCAAATCCTTTGCACCATGTTTATCAAAAATATCTTAATACACACACACAAAGTACACTCAGATCAACAGAGAGAGAACCTGCTCACCTAAATCTATACTTAATGATAAATAAAAAGCTGTCACGACTCACAAACACTCGCACTGAGACCTTGAGGCATCCACTTACCAGGCTGACACAGTACACTCAGTACACTCAGTACGTGTGTGCACAGAAAAAACGTTGGTGCTTTTTATCCAGTGACCATTAACCACATCATGTTGTTCCCCTGTGTCAGGTGATTTTGGTGGTGGATTTAATGGTGGTGGTGGAGAAGGAGGGAGGAAGGCATCGAGGATAACGGGAGATGCTTCTGCTAACAAACCTCCAGCTGCTAAGAAACCTCGTACCTGCAGCATCTGCCACATGCCGGGACACAACAAAATCAGGTGTCCCCAGCGGTGACAGCTCATTAAAGACACTGTGGAGTTATCGAAGTCTATGACTTGAAAGTGTGAAGTCAGATTTGATTTTTCAAATATGCATCAACTCTGATTGTAAGTACCTCTTCATAGGGGGTGGATGTCTTCTTCTGGTATAGTAACATTTAACCAAGATCCTGTAAAGTTACATTTTGAAAGTTAAAAAAGGGCAAAAGCAGTTTTAAGAACAAAAGTCACTTAACAACTACAGCTCTAAACAAAGTTAAAGTATTGTATTAACCAGCCGTAGTTGTGCAGCATATTCAGCTCTGTGGTATAAATGAGGAATGACATTTTGTGTCTCAAGTCAACAGAAACTAGACCTTTTCTTTATGTCTTAATCCAGCTGTAATTTTTCAAGTCTCCTCAGATCTGCGCTCTGTTTGTTCAAGATGAATAGCTCCTTTCTGGGGTCAACCTTTACTGTCTATTAGGTCCTGTCAGATGCCAGCCAGTTTCTATCCCAGAATCCTGATAGGAATTCAGCATTTCAGAAAATACGCAAATTCACTCTCTTGCCAAGTGTCAGATGAGAGGTTTTATACCACCATGTTAAATATAAAAAATGTGATTAACACGTTCTATCTTCTATGTTTAATCCATACAAACCAAACAGTTTCACACTGTTTTACAAGGGCGGTTAATGCCAGACTATTAAGTTTATAAGCGTATTTCCCAAAATGTCAAACTTTTCCATTAAAGCTCAGTGCAGCGTTCATGAACAGACACATGCTATACTCTTTATACTTTGACTGTCTTTTGCTGCCAGAGGAAAAAGCTCGGAGTACATTGAGGAGTTGAATCACTTGCAGTAACCTGAAGGTGCTCAACAGTTAATGGGAAATTTGCTCAGCTGGTCTTGGATCAAATGAATCCTCCGTCTGTTGTGTTTCTCTGCATCCACAATCCTGACAGCCTGCCTGAGATCAGCTGGAGGAGGGTGATTTTGACACAGAAGCTGAAATGTGAATTTTAGAGAAAACGTATTTGCACACAGTTTATTATTATTAATAATAATAATAATAATAATAAATATAATAATATTAATAAATTAGTTTTAATCACTTAAGTGTCTTGAACAGCAGCCAGTAGCTACCAAGGTGGTTGTTTATGTTTTTACATTGTAAATTTAGTGACGGCAAAATAAAAAGCAAACAGTTGGCCTCTCTCTTGGTAGTTTGGGGAATTACCAGAAAGATTTCCATTTTGATATTTATGAATGCTAATAAACATACGTTTTACTGTACTGTACATTTCCATCTTTATTTATATCTTTATAGTCTTGACAAAGGTTGGTTTTGGTTTAATGCGGAGTCTTGTAAATTTTCCTCTTTGTTTATCTGGTTTTGGTTTTGGTTCTGTTTTGAGTCTTCAGCTTTCAGGATGCTTATCTTTGAAAAGAAACCAAACTCAAAACGCCACATTATATAATCAGTTATGGAGTTGAGCCAGTGCAAAATGAAACAAAAAGGGATTCTCATATTTTCTGTCCTGACCTGGGGGGAACAAGTACTTTCATCCTAAAACTTAAAGTCACCCCTCAAAGTTTTTCTTTTGGTTCCTACAGTGTGATGTTTGATCTTCACTGTGCAGAATGCTGTCTGTGCAGAGCAGGAGTTTGACACTAGAAGGATGTTCATACATTCATCTATTTATCTGCTGAAAGTGGAAAGTTTCTCTGTGCTCATTGAACATCTGATTTTAAGGGGCGGGGCCTATCAGCATGATTGGAAGTCAAACCTGGTTCAGTATTCAACTTATAAAGTGTGATGTAGAAACTCACATCAGTGCACATACACTGAGAATGGACTTCCAGTGAAATAGGAGACATCTTGTGTCCAACAGGAAAACCTTTGAAATGAACAACATAATAATATTGACAGATCCTGGAAAGAGTTGATATCTTTTTAAAGATTTTAATGTGGAAATTATACTTGCATATCAGACACACATTTGTCCCAATGGATGATTATTATTGACACATTCATGTGTTAGTAGCAAATACAATATAACAATTTTTTAATCATAATCAAACGTTTTGTATGTCAAAATCTACAAAGTATCCAGCAAGAGTAAAAAGGTCAATACTTGCTCTGAAATGTAGCACAGTGTAAGTAAGTTCCACCACTGGTGCGGGTTTCCTGCAGACAGTACGGGTCTGATACCAGATGTTGGGTGTTAGTAGCTCTGGGGTCTAAGTGATCGTACATATTTCTATATAAGAAGCCCCCCCATCTCAGACAAAGTTTTCAGCTTTGTGTTTTACTGCAGAATTTGAAGGGTTTTATTCTTCCCAGCAGTGTTGCTGCTTGTAACTCTGTACCCGGCGAACTCCCCCCCCCCTAAAATGGCTGGAACAAAGGGAAACAACCCAGAAAACGCGTAGATTCCCGGCATGAGGCTGTAAGTTATCCTCATGTGTTTGGTTTTTTTCGCTGTTGATATTCCAGAGAAGTTGCGGTGATTTTACCGTCACGTTTGGTGACTCATACGTGAGTCATAGCATGTGGGTGGGAGTGAGCTCTGTGTTGTTTTCATCCCTCTCCGATACAGTAGTATCCGGGCAGATAACAAGTCATGTGATTGCTGTGTTTCTTTTCTGAATTGCAGCATATAACCTCCTCCTTACGGGAAAAGCGCCCTTTTCATCCATCAGTATTACATTTTAGACTAATACCGTAACGCTGCTCCCTGTAGGGTTACTATATGAGTGCCATAAAGGTTAAAGACGCCATAATGTAGGATGAGATCACCATGGAAATTACCAGAACTATAAGGACGCCGTCGTCCAGGATCACTGCTGAACACAGCCCTCTCTGTTGAGATATTAAAACATCACAGTGCACAGTAAACTCTACAGTAAGCACCAGGAGTCCCAGGAGGACTGCCTAAAGTCTACAAGAATATTAAAGGGGCATTATAGAAGCAACTTAAAGGAGGCCTCCAACAATTTTACACACAAAGTTTAATCATCATGAGGAGTACGTCTTAGTTGGAAAAAGCCTTTGTATAATGTCTTTTGTGTCTCTGAGGAAATAACCCCAATGATGTTATGGTGAGGTCATCAGTGGTATCTCAGTTTGGGCTTGAAACCAACATTTTAACCGATGTTTTACAAACTGAAAGTGTTTAGTAGGCAGAATCTAATTAAAAACACTCTACAGTTGGATTATGGGAAATGTAGGGTTTATAGTTTTTGGTTGTTGACCCAGACTCCCCTTCTTTTTTTTTTTTTTTAAATCTCTCTCTCTCTGTAAAGCAGTATTATACTCTTTGCGGACCCTAGGGTCCGAGTGACATACATTTTGTCGTCAGAAGGATAATGACACTGTGGGGAACACGTCCTCTGAGCAGACTCCAGAAAACACAATTACTACGTGTGTGTATTTGGGAATATATTCACTGACTTGAGTAACTACTTTCTGGAAGTGAATCATCCCTTAAAGAGATGCTAAGATCACTGACGTCAATAAACAATTGATTCCCCTTCCGCTGTAAGGTCTTTATTTTAGTAATATTGCAACATCATAAATGATTCAGCATCTTTATTTAAATAAAAGCGAATCTAACATGAATCTGCAACTGTTTTTTTTTTATAATTGATATTTTAGTTATTATTTTAAGCAGAAATGGCAGAAATTGGTTGATTGCAGCTTCCCACATGTTTAAATTTACTAATTTCTTTGGTTTTCTTGGTATTCGGTTATAATAATAGCTTCATATACTGCATTACGTTTGGGTTTTGGACTTTTGGAATAGGTTAGTTTGGGCTCTAGGAACATGTGAGGGCAATTTTTACCCAAAAATTATAAGATATAAAATGAATTGATAATAAACATATTCCTCATTATTTGCTGCTCTAATTTAAATAATCAATATAAACTAATTCCAGTTGACTAATCACCACAGACGCTTTGCATTACTACAAGAATATCATTGGGTAACTATAGAAATGTCTGGTTTGGGTGTTTACATAATATCAGAGCAATGAGGTCAAAGGTCACAGCTGGGTCAGAGGGGGGATCACTCATCAGTCCTGAGCTGTTCATCAACTCTTCCTGCTGTCTCGTCATCGTCATCCAGCTTTTCAGCAGTCACCGTAGAAACAGTTGCCATGACACCCAATGGACGTAAGTGATGCAAGTGTTCCAGGTGCAGAGAGACTGTGGACCGTGTGTGTGTGTGTGTAGTTACAGAGAGTTTTACTGTAAACTGATCCACACCAGCCTCAATGAAAGACAATAGGAAATTGGCTTTGTGCCTTTTTTCCACAGCAGTCACTTCACCTTTCTGAGCTGTTCCACCTGGGGCCAC